TCACCAGAGCTTTGGAGGCTTCAGAAACGAGAGTGTGAAGTGCCCGAAATGATTTAGCCAGCCCATAAATGTGTCAGGAATTATATATAAGCTTATGATCTCGCAGATGTTTTCTCGTAAATCACGAGACATTGCACACATATGAGGCCTCAGAGCGATCTAACTCATTCATATCGTCTGGATCGCTAGCGCCCCATAAATACAGATATAGAAACATCGAAAGTTTTTAGTTTTAAAGTTGTGAGTGTATTAATGTATTTAAGAGATATCTTGGGCAGCATCTCGTGTATGATCACAGAGGAGCGAATTTAGCGAAAAGCCAAGCCGATAGCATGCTCGGAGAGAACTTAAAAGCTCGCCCGGCGGTGTAACTTGTAATTGGCGGGGGCAGTGAACGCGCCAAGTATTAGATCCTCGTTATCCTAACGAGCTGAAATGTTATAGTCGACTAAAATGAACACTGCTTTTGTACCGAACCGAACAGCAACATTGTTGTCGGCAATAATATTGTATTTATAGCCTTTTTTTTTGTTTTTCAAAACTCCTCAGCTTTGTGCATGTATCTTGGATTTTAATTTCGAGGAATCACCGCATTATAAAATTCTGCCAACCTATTTACTAGAATTTATTTACCAATCTAACGGTTAGTTGCCGTTTTATGTTTGCAATTACACCTACGGAACATACATAGAAGGTTTTATTTTCTAATTCTTTAGATGTATGTCGAATAAGAAGTTATGAGTATGTTTTTAGATAAATTGCATTTAAAGTTTAGATTTTTTTAATATCCTATACTTTCATTTTAAAGTTAACTTCAAATTACTAACAATTGTTAAGAGTATGAAGAGAAAATCTGGATGTTAAACATTGTAAAAGTAAACTCAAAAAAATATATTGTTAATTCTATGGGAAAATTTATTCTTGTTAAAAATTGAAGTTAAATAAATTAATTAAATTGAGTTAAAAAACCTTGCCAATTTTTTTTTGGTACAAAATATAGATCTAAAAATAACTATTTTAAGTTCAAATTTGATCAAAGCTTTTTAAGCTGTATTAGATAGACTTTTGGGCGCCAAATTAAAGAAGAAAATTTTTTAATCTTTTTTTTATGGTCTTATTATATTCTTTTGTACTTAAAAAATGTCAATTATTGATTTTTGATTAAGTTTTAGTCAAATTAATTAAATAAATCACTTTGAAAAGTTGTATTATCTCGAATCAAGGCAAAAAATTCTTGAATTAAGTAAAAGTTGATAAAAATCTGAACAATTATTTAGTTCAGAATTATTTCTACACAATATAAGACAATTCGATTTTTAAAAATAATTCTATTCTCAAATTATCAACCTTTCTCTTCAAAAAGCCATTTTTTAATACAATCTTAAGAATTCTGATATTAATAAATTAATTTAATAACATTATAAGCTAAAAGAAAATTTTTTTAACCAAAAAAATAATTTTGAAAAGTTTAATTGTCTTGTATCAAGCCAAACAATTTTTGAATCAAGTAAAATTAACTTAAACTAAAAAAAGTTTCTTAATTCAAGATTTTTCGCTCAATTTGAGACATTTAAATTTAAAAAATTATTTTTAATTCAATAATTTTAAGGTAAAATGATTTTTATTGTTCAAAATTCTACTTTTTAAATCATGTTTATTTTTTTTATCCAAAAAACAAATTTTAGGACAAAAATAATTTTGACTCAAGTAAAATTAACTCAGTTTAATAAAAATTTTTTAGTTTGAGAATTTTTCTGCTCAAAATAAAATCAAGTTCTTCAAAAATATCAACTTGATTAAATTTTATTTTCTCTGTATAATTTCCAAAAAATCTCTCCTCTATCCAAACCAGCCAAATTCCTTAAAAAATAATTAAAAATTAAAAAAAAATTCCCCCACTAAATTTTCCAAAAAACCTAAAAGCACTTAAAAAAGTGTATATAAATACCAGGCACCGAAGCATATCTCCGAACAAAAGTGTATTCACGCCGCCATTAATTTGTGGGTTCGCAAGGTGGTACAAGAAGAGGATTTAGTGAGCCACTGGCAGGCAGCCTGGAGCCCTTCTAATGGCCATTGCGATGTTTGTGGTCTGCAGTCCACACTTACACACACACACACACACACACACACATACACACATGCACACCGACGATCGACCAACCAGCACACCATCATCCAATTCCGCAATTCGCAAGTAGAACATCTTCTATTATCCTACCTATCCCCTATCTCCATCCCTCTCGTTCGGCCAGTGACTCACTTGCACATAAATACATAAATATATAAAGCCGGGTCGCGTGTTATCTCCTCGCCATTGCAGCTACACCACCCTCTCCTCTGTCTTTAACCCTCAACCCTCCGTGCTTTACACAGCAGGTATATGATAATATTAACTGCTGTATACAGAGTATTAGAGCGATCCCTCGAGTACATTCTGGGCGCAATTGTTCTCCACCCCCACCTGCGATGATAAAAGCAATAGCTCTTGCACATAACATTATGGCGATCTTCCGTGTCTCCGAACAGTAGGTTATCCCTTCTATACAAAATACAACCCCAGCTTGCTACTCTCACTCCTCCCCCTCCCTCCCCTTTTTTTCTATTCTTATATCTATATCTGCAGAGCAATAAATAAATAAGACTTTAGTTCTTATTCTATTACAAGAACATCCATAAAATATAGAAAATAAATAAATAAATGCTTACAACATGGAATACACAAATGATACTGAATATTTTATTGCTACATTTCTTTCTCTATTATATATTTGGATATATCTATGGATGGAATATTGTGACAGCGTAATAAAGTAGTAGAATCACTAGTCACAAAAGCCGCAATAAAAATTAGAATATGTTGCTACAACTTTATACTTTTATTGCATCCGAAAATTTTAAGTTGGTTTTTTAGTTAAGTATAAATTATTTTTGAGGTTTATGGATTATTTGGTCGATAAATGTTTTTTTTTTATTCTGTTGAATAATTATTTGGGTTATAAAAATATCAGTTTTGTACAAATTGTTTTTGATTGCGTAATTATTTTTGTAAAACTTTTTTAATGACTGGAAAATTTTATTTAAAGTTTTAAAGATACTTTATTTTATAAAAAGTTTGTTTTTTTTTTTTTTTTTTTTAATTATTGTATTAAATTAAATGCTGACGTAAAAAAATTAATAAAAATAATTTTTTTCCAAGTCAATTAATTATATAATTGCAAGACTAGAAAATTTTATTAATTTTTTGTTGAAAGTTTTAAAGATAATTTTTTTATTAGTTCATTTTTTAATTATATTAATTTAAATGCTAACATAAAAAAATTAATAATAATTTTTTTCCAAATCAATTAATCATATAATTGCAGGCTTAAAAAACTTTATTAAATTTTTATTCAAAGTCTTAAAAATAATTTATTTGTAATTTATATAAAAAAATTATTTTTTTAATTTTAATGCTAACATAAGAAAATAATTTTTTTTTTTTGTTCAAATAATTTTTTTTCCGTAAAATTTCATTAATAATATATTTTTAATAACTATAAAAGTTATGAAATAAAATTTTAATTTCAAAATTTCACAACTGGAAAATTTTATTAATTTTTTGTTTAAAATTTTAAAGAAAATTTATTTGTAATTTTTTTATAAAGTTTTAATTTAAATGCTAACATAAAAAATAATTTTTAACTCAATTTTATTAAAAATATATTTAAAATAAGGAAAAAACAGTATATTTACCCAATTAATTTCCAATTAAAATCTTGAAAAAAAAAAAAAAGTAAATGAAAAATGAGCTGCTGAAAAGCTGAGTACCGAGTATGCAAGACTTAAGTTAAAGTATAATAACGCTAACCAAAAAAAGTAAATCGTTTTAGGTTTTTCATCTTTTAACAGTAATTTATAACGACACGGTCCCGTGCAATTCATCTGTCAGCTGGTCCGCGAGATAAAGCGCAGCTCGTTAATTTCGGATCAATTATCGCGCAGGCCCGGCAATGTGTCACCGGAAAATGGAGCGTACACTCGCAATAACGACCACGCCTACAAAATTTATCACATATATACATACATACATACAACCCCCAATAACACTCTCACAAATATACATATCGTATAATTAGCTATTTCTCTTGAAATAGATCCGCGTAACTATTAACCATGTGAATCTCGAGTAAGCACTCTCTCATACTCGTCGTCACGCTCGTTATCATATCATTAAATTATTTTATTAATTACTTGTTATTAATAACTCATTAAACAAATAAAAAGACTCACCAGACATTATCTTGTAATTCAATTTAATTAGACATGACATCAATACATACATATATATTTATCTAATATATATATCTATAATACAATAATAATTAATACCAATTTACTTATTAACATATACATATGTGTTATATTATTATTATTATTATTATTATTATTATCTAACTCTAATATATTTTTTTACATATTTATTTACACTGAGATCATATTTAAAGCATAATATATTTTTTTAGTTCACATTATTATTATTAATATATATATTTACAATTTAACAGTTCATTTAAATTTACTAATTTTTAATCACATTATTGTATAATATTAAGTTGATATTGAAGATTTAAATATTTACAGTTTAATAAATATTAAGAAATTATTTTTTTTTTGTGTGCAGTTATTATTAATTATAATTTAATTAAACAAAATATTTTAATGACATAGCAGTCTTGATAATAAAGACATTTGGCACGATAATAAGCTCTAAACTAATTTTTTCCACTGAGAAAAAATTTTTTTAATTTTTTCATTTCATGAAAAAATACTGGAAAAATTTTATAAAAAAAAATATTCCTTAAAAATTTGAAAATTTTCAAAGCTCATTTTAAAAAAAAAAGTTTTTTAATTTAGGTGAATTTTCATTTCATGAAAAAATAATGGAAAGATTTTACCAAAAAAAATATTTGGAAATTTTCAAAATTTTTCTCAGCTCACAAAAATAACCACTAAAATAATTAATTAGGCATAATTTCCTCGCCATCATCATCAACAGGCACAGTAGAGTGATTATAAAGCCCCTGAGCCATTAACTGAAGAGCAAGTGGATTTTTCTTCCCGCTAGATTTCTTAATCTTAGCGCGCTTATTCTGGAACCAAATTTTGATCTGCGCTTCATTGAGCCCCAGCTCGCGAGAAAGCTGCTGGCGCCTTGGTTCAGTGAGGTACCGATTTTCATTGAACTCAGTCTTCAATCTAGCGAGTTGTTCCGCGCTGAAAGCAGTCCTGGGTCTTTTGTCTTCAGGAGTTAGTTTTTCCGACTCTGCTCTTTTTACTCTCCTAGTTCTAGGGCCTAAAAAATGCAAAAATCAAAAATTACCACCAAAAAACTCAACTAAAAAGAAAGAATATCAAAATTCAACTCACCAGAAGAAGGTCTGTCAGAATATCTAGTGCAATAAACCCAAGCGGGCCACAAACTAGGATTACTACTGGTAGAACTAGGAAGACTGTCCCCGCTGACGGATTCCGCAGCAGTGGAGGCGGCTGATGACAAGGAGGGTGTTCCAGTAAGAGATCCCGTCAGAGAGCTGCGGTTGCTGGCGAGGCTCTCAAGACTGCCACTTCTGCTCAGACCAGAGTGCCTTTGGATTGGAGACGAGTCTCCGAAGTACTCTCTGTCACGGTGAACCGCGTAACTCGAACTGAGTGCCAGGATTTTGGCTGTAGAGTGCGACAAGTCTTTAGGGTTTGACGGAGATTTGCACTTGGTGGGGCTAGTGTGAGACTTGGTGCTTAGAATTGCACTGCGGCCGAATTCCGGACGGAGTATGTTGACAATGCTGAACCTTAATGGTGGATCATTGTCCTGGACCGGTTGGTGCTGGGTAGAAATGGCAGAAATGGTATCAACCTTTGGAGACGGCGACCTGAGCAGGTGGTTGTGGAGGTGCGAGTGGTGGCTCAAACCTAGCCTTAAACTGTAGGCACTCTCCATACTGGTCAACACTACGCTCATTTTGGTTAGAGTTCAAAAAAACCAATCAAATTGTGATTTAACTGATTAGTTATCAAAATGGTTGATCAGGTTGCATCAAGACACTGCACTGCACTGAACTGAACTCTGAACTGCACTTTAGTAACACTAGGTGGTACTGGGTTGAGGACAAATATTGCCGATTAGCTTGTAGACTTATTCCGTAGTGGATTGAGTGCCCTGACAGGTCAGACTGGCTGTCCATCCGTCGGAAGGTGATGTCTAAACTACGGGCCTCAAGTCCCTACTTACGGTGTCCCTTTCTCCGAGTAACTCTCCACCTCTAACGGAGAAGCTGCTCTTATCCGAGGAGACTCGGGTTCTTGTCCTCTTGCTCACTCCTCCTACACTAAGCTAGACACCCTGATTGTATCTCTATTAACACCGCGGAAGACACGCCCACTGCGTCTTTACAATCCCCCACTTTTTGGTAACCAACACAGTAGTGGGGGCTGAGCCCCACTAGGATTTTATAATTCCGTCAACTAAATCTTAATCACCGTAGACCAATTCGCAATTTAAAAGTTACGCTATTGTTTTACGGAAATTCTAACTTTTTGTGAGGTCACGGGCTTTGAAGCCACGCCTACTTAAACCACGCCTCCGAGGGATAAGTTACGCCCATTGGGCCTTTGTTCAAGCTAGATCGCGAGTTAATTCGCGATTCAAGTTCAGAACCATCTTTACATTAAGCTTAAACAGACGCAATACCAGTGAATTTATAAGGGACAAAAGCTCTGATCTGAAGTTACATAACCTACCAAAAATATAATGTATATGTATGTATCCATTACAAAACAGGTTTTGGGTATGTTGGTATGTTTACTGCATAATTTATTAACCGCGTATTATTATCAGTTAAAAAAATTACACCGTATAAAAACGGTGGTAGGTAATTTTATTTTAAAATAAAAATGTAATGAATAAAAAGTATATAGAGGTTTTATAAAAACATCATATAATTTAGCAGACATATTTCGACGAGTGTCAAGTAATGTTTTCTGATAATTATACCAACGAAAAAACGTTGGTACACTACTATTATTTATTAAATACGGGCATTGATATCGGATGTGTGAGTGTAAGGCAATTTATTTAAAATATAATTAACTTGGGTAACTCTCAACACGCTAGATAAATGTGTACGACACATGTATATATCTTTTATATGTACACCAGATATGATTACACGCATGTCGTGATGACGAGCATTAACATGCAAATTGTTTTATCTATAATTACATCAATGTTGTTGTGGTGAGCTAGTGAGTATATTGCTGCCGGAAAAAGGTGCGACAATCGGCACTTTAGACCAATCTGTTAACTATATTTATACCTACATCATTAACAACATAAATATATATCGCTTAGATAAATGGATAGTAATCAAAATAGTAATATAATAATATCAGATGGAAAAAAAAAAAAAAAAAAAAAAAAAAAAAAAAATAAAATATAATACATACGTTTAATGTATATCATATGTGACACGTTATTAACGCATTAGCTTGGAACTAAACGCAATTTCAATTGATTGAATGATTGAGATATATTATTTATGGTTATAAATAAGTAATTAAGCCATTGCAGTCGTTTCTGATTTAAAAACGGCTTGGCCGTTTCACGTCAAGGAGGTCGAAGTTTAACGATTGGGGCATTTTGTTGAAGGTTCGATCTCTAATAGTATTTATAATAATAAATACATATAATAGTGGACGTCGACCGTAAATAAACAGGCTTAATTCCCTCCGGGGAGTCGCGTCGCCGACATGGCTGAGACTTTAAATGAAGAACGACCCAAGAAATGTATATATGGGCGAGGTAGATGATTCTCAGATAGGATTTTGCTGAGACCCCTGGGAAGATATTATTTCGTTAAAAAAAACTTTTGGAAATTACAATGGGTGTAGGCAATAAAAATTGCCGTTTTATAGACTAAATGGGTAATTAGTTTGAGAATCTGAACTAGCATTTGCATCGTGGAATTTCGATTGGGAATTGAAATCCTCCTAAGAAAGAAGGTGGAATAAAGAAGCGTGAGTTGGTTTGATGAAAATAAGTAAGAAGTAAGTTTGAAATAAGAAAAATAAGTACAATGTGTTTAAGCGGATTGACTTACACGTTTACACGTAACACGATTTTTTTTTTTTTTTTGGTTTATTTAACTTGGACTTGAAAGTCAATAACAAAAATAATAAAGTTGAACCCAGAGCCAGAGGGAGAAAAAGAAAGGAACGAACTAACGTAAAATAAAAAATAAAGACAGATCGTGTTCTTTTTATTCATGCCTTCGGTACGTGATTATTCCACGAGCGTGTTTTATAAACGGATTCTATTTATGGTACTGCGAACTCTATAATCAGCCACCACGGTACGACGACTTACTTCGAATAATTAATTCAAGCCACACCTACGCGAAACCTGTTTTCGCCGAATCATTTCACGCATATCCCCACCTGGCAAATCAAAAGAAAGAAAAGTAGGCGGAGTTAAGACGTAACCACGCCTACTGTGTTTGCGATATCGCGTGTCGAGTGGGAAACTTGGTACGTTCTTTATCACAACGTTAATATAACACTACGCACATAAGGATAACCCAACAATGGTTTAATAATTGAAGAAAAACGTTCACACCATTATCTCACGAGCAGAAAACTACCGTTGACTTATGGTGCTAGATCATGTAAATCATAAACTATATTTTCCTTCTATACTTTAATAAAATTTTTCACCATCTAAACCATTTCAAATTTATATCCGAACAATTCGCATTGCCAATACAAATAACCAAATTATTTTTTCAGCTAAAACAAATCCTTTAATTTTCCGTGGGCGGAGCTAGCCAATCCCACGCCCTGTTTCTCCAGGAAAATTAAATTAAAACAACAGAAGATTAGAAGCCGATGGAATAAAATCAATACACATATAAACCAATCCAATTAGCAGAGCCCCAATTGGATTAATTAATAACAGATTAAACGGTATAAACTTCACTCCTTCCTGGTCCAATCCCAGCTAACTTTCCCACCACTACAACACAAAAGACCTATTTCATTTATATATTTGTTACCATTGTATTATCACAGCTTAAAGTTTGAGCATATGACAACCTAATAATGAAAAACAGCCCTCGTGAATTTCCGTAGCAGATAACCAACCTCAAGCAGAAATGAAGCTCATCACGTTAACACAAACATTTGTGTCTATCATCTCTCTCACTTACGATTATTATTTTCCAGGGGATCCCAAAGTAGCTGTTTATACCAACCCCAAAAGAGTAGTATGCACACCCGGTACATAGTCACATAGTGGCGAAGATAACCGCGCCCCAGGGACCCTCGTTTATAAACCGTTCTTTGGCGATGGGGGAGCAGAAGCATCCACTACTACTACTCCCTTACTCTGATTTATCGGTCAAGTGATAAACGAGACGAGCTCATCTCAGACTGACACACCACACGCTCATACGTGCCTACCATGTACACCATGCACACCCTTCGACGATACCATTGGTGGACTGACAAAGGTGAGGCCTAAAATCGACAAAATGGGTCTGCAGCTGTTACAACACACATAATGACATAATGTTCAGGGGTGTGCATTTTATATACATGTTATCCATTGTAATAATGCATCCTTGTGTCGTGGTGTGTCAATGTCCGGTCACGCTCGTTTTTTTATTGTATTGATACATTGTGAGGAGCTGCAGACATCTAACATGATGATGTTCCGAAGGAATAATGAGACGTATATGTATTTATATCCAGAGGTATGTATATTTTAATTAATGCGTCTTGGTTGTGCATTTTTTTTTTTTTTTTTTTCAGGAGTACCGCTGCTTGGTAACTTGCATCGATGATAAATCATCTCTTGAAGGAAGATCCAGGACTCAAATTGAGATGGATGGAAATAATAGGCTCGTGTGTGTATGGACGATCAACTTGATAATTCTTGCGTCGGATATGAGAAGAGAAGTGATTGTAATGATGCGTGCTGTTGAACCAGCTGCGTATTTTTAACCGAGCTGAGGTGAGTTTATTGCATGACTGGGGTCCAGCCTCTACTCACAAGCAGTAGCCATAAAAAAATTTTTATAATCAAAAGCTGCCGTGATGGAACGCGAAAAGACGATTCGTTACGTTCTCCGCGGGGATTGTTATCAGAGAGTATAAGAAGTTAAGAATAAGGAACACTTTTGGGGATTTTGGGTTAGAGAGAGTGAAAAGGAAAACTTTGAGCTTAGAGAATTTACTTTTTGACTATAACCCCCTGGGCTATCCTACCTGCCAGGTTATTCTTATTCTGATGCCCGACATTTCGTCACGGTGACCATCTCTCTTACTATTACCCTTGATATTGTACGTGTTTATATATTTATGTTTATGAATGTGAATGCACACCACAACACGCATTGTGTTCTCTATTTCGAAATGTCAAAACTATTTTACCACAATGCCTACTATTCACGCTCCGGCGAGTTAATTTTTTAACTGTAAGCGTATTTTAACTGTATATAGGCTTTTTTAAATATAAATACCGGGCCTATAATTTGCTTCTAGCCCAAATTTTATACTTTTACGGCAGGCATAAACTTTTTTAACGCATTTTCGTTATAATACAAGCTGTTAAAATTTTATTGAAATATTAATTTTTTACGGGAACAATAACTTCATTTTTTCTATTCATATAGACTAATTCGGTTATAAATTCCGGAGGATTTAAATTTTGGTCTCTAGACAATTTTAAAAATTTTACTTTTCATAGTTATGACTTTTACTTTTTTTTTGAGGACAATTGTACCCTAAAATTTTAAATTTTTATGTTTTGATTGCTTTAAAAAAATCTTTTTTTGCTCCATTTATTTTTATTATTTTACTTCTGGTAGTAATTTTATAGAGGTGCTACACACTTGTACATAGAACCAGAGGACATAATTAGTCATATTAAAATATAATAATCGATTATTTAAGTACAAAGTAATG